GGGCTCCCCTGGGGGTTCGGGCGCCGACTTCCACAGCCTGTCATTCTGGGGAGGGGAGCGGGCGCTGAATCTGTTCGTGCTGGTCTCTTCCCAGGACATACCCCCGGCCTCACGAGTATCTGTCCCCGAGGGACCTGCCCAAGAGCTGGGACTGGCGGAACGTGAACGGCGTCAACTACGCCAGTGTCACCAGGAACCAGCACATCCCCCAGTACTGCGGCTCCTGCTGGGCCCACGGCAGCACCAGCGCCATGGCGGGTAGGTGGGCTTCCGCAGCCCCTCCGGACCGCGGGCCGCGAAGGCCTGTCCACACTGCCTCCTGGGCGGCACAGGCAGCCACCGGGATTCTGCGCCAGGGCTCAGCGTGGGGCGGGAGGTGGCCGAGCCGCTCCAGCCTAGGGGAGCTGACCTGTGACCTCTGCGGTTCCTCCCCGTGGAGGGAAGGCCAAAGTACTGCAGGCTGGACTGTGCGTCCGCCGGGGGCCCGTGGGTGGCAGACAGGACGAGGGCCAGCCGCCCCGTGACATGCGGCTCCCAGGTGCCGTTTCTCCCCCACAGCTTGTGACCCCGGCCCTTTGGGATCAGACCAGAGGTGAGACTCACCCAAAATCCCCTGCCAGTATTTGGGGACGAGGAAGTGAAACTGCTTTGCAGCAGCAGTTAATATTTGAGCTGACGCCCATCCTGGGTTTGGAATATTGAGCAAGGCTGGCCGGTTTTCTCTTCTGGCCCCTGGCCCCGGTGAGGGGACGAAGGAGGGGAAGCTGAGGGCCACACCACCCACGAGGGCTGCTGGGCCTTGCCTTGGGAGAGCAGGGAGCGGAGACCTCCCCCAGCCTCCATTCAGCCCCGGGCTGGCTTGGGAGGTGTGGGAGGGGCTCCGCCATCTCCAGTGGTGGCCCAGGAGCCTCTAGTGACGGGAGAGTTCCGCTGCAGAAGGGACTGTCTGGCTGGGGGGGGGGCAGGGGACCACTGCCTCGTCCCCGCGGGGCAGCTCACTGGGCAGGCCTGGTGTACTCGTGGCCTTGTGTTAACTTGATTAAGAACAGGGAGGCTGCTGCCGCTTCTGAGGCTTGGTGGCTCCATTGAAGCCTCCGAGCTGCCCTGGGACTGTTCCCACTTTGCAGGTGAGGAAGCTGAGGTCCCTGGCAAGGAGGTCAGGAGACCCGGGTGTGGTGTGAGTGGCAGCTGGGAGTAGAGCCCAGAAGCCTGGCCTTTGGGCCAGGACTTCTGCTGGGCGTCTTTGGGTCGAGGAGTGGAGGCGGTGGTCTGGGGCATCCTTCTGGCCCTGCCGGAAGGAGGAGGAAAGGGGGGCAGATAGGCTGCGGCACCATTGCAAGGGGTGGGAGGCTTGGGAGGCCCCCTGATTGGGATGTGGAGCCAGAGGCTTAACCCCTGCAGCCCCTGCAAGGCCTTGGGCCGGGCGGGCAGGGTGTGGGCAGGCCCCAGGCGGAGGGTCGGGGCAAAGGCCTCGGCGGGCATGGTGCTCACAGCGCGGAACTGAAAGAGGGCCTTTGTGGTGGCCCTCGGGGTGGGGGATGGACAGAAGAGCCACAAAGGTCACCAGGGCGAGCCCTCGACCTGGTTCCATTTTCAGAGGGTCAGCCCTGCCGCATCTCCGGAGCGGACTCTCCGGGGCAACCGTCTCCTCCAATGACGCTCTCCCCCAGCAGCAGGACCCTTCTTCCTCTTTCACTGAGAAAACAGAAGCCCTCAAAAGGGGACTTCCAGGGGCGCCGGCCCGGCTGGCTGCCACCTAACACAGCCGGTCGTGGTCTGCCTCTCCTCCTGTCCCCGGGTCCTTTGCCCTGTGCTTGGACCCGGCCATCGCCAGGAGCACATGAGCAGGAGGCCTGGAGCCCATGCCGCCCCAGCCACTGCCCCACTTGCGGGCCCCTTCATCCGTCCTCAGACCCCGTCCAGCCTCACTTTACCTCCCACTCGGCGCGAGGGGCCGCCACGCCGGCAGGTGCAGCCGTCAGCCGCCGGGCCTCGCCCTCCATGGTCGCGCTTGATCACCTGTCCCTGGCGCGCTGTCCCCGCCTTTCACCGCACACTATGGCTCTTCCTGCTTCCTGGCTGCGCCTCCATATCCTCTGCCAGCTCCTCCCCCTCCCCCTGAGCACTGGGTTCCCCGGGTCTCAGCCTTCACCTGCGCCTCCGTGACGCCAGCTGTCCGTTGCCCTCCCTCTGCCCGGACACCTCATGCCTCAGTCCCCCCACCCCACCTGGCTGAGCCACTCATCCTTCCCGTCGCTCCCGTGGAAGCCTAGCGCCGCCCCTCGTACGATCCTGGGACGGATCTTGTCCGTTTCACCTTCAGGGTATGTTCTGAACCCCTCTGCTTTTTGCAGCCCCCATCGCTGCACCCCTACTCTGAGCCCCAGGTGCTGGCACCGCCTGGTCTCTGCCCCCTCGCCCCCCTGCCGTCCCGTCTCAGCCTAGACCCGTCTACTGAGCCCCAGGTCGGACTGTACTTCCCTCCCACTGGAAACCCTCCGCGATTGCACGCAGAGCGAGCACAGAATGCTTGCTTGACCTACGAGAGCCTCTGTACGCGGGCTCCCTGTCCTGTGTGGGGACCCCACGGGTCGGGGCTTTGACTGTTTTTGTGTCCAGCGCTGGGTTCCCAGCGCGGAGAACAGCCGGGAGCACAGCAGGTGTGGACAAGCACCTGTGGGTGATGGAGGAAGACAAGCAGGTGGAGAGGAACTTCCAGTTACGTTCGGGCCACGCGGGGAGCGTCTTTGACCCCCCCCTCCCCGGGGTTGGGTCAGGGAGGGAGGGGACGCCTGATCCGGGGGCAGGGGAGGCCAGACCGGGCCGCGGATGGAGCAGCTTTGCTGCCCACCGCTGCCGGGCAGGGGCCGGAGGAGACGAGGCTGGGGAAGTAGGCCTCAGAGTTGGCAGCATGGAGGTCCTCGGCCTTCCAAGAGCAGCTTCCTCAGTGGGGAGGAGACCCCAGCCAGGTTGGCCCGGCGCCGAAGGGACAGCGGGGCTGGGAATGGAGACCCGGAGGGCTGCTGGGAGCCTCACGAGGCAGCAGAGAACTGCAGTGTGTGGGGAGGCGCGTGCGGGGCTCAGGGGCCCTTTGCCGATGTCAGGGGCACCTGGGTGGCTTTAGCATCAGAGTCAGTTAAGCTCAGGTCATGACCTTACAGCTCACGGGATCCAGCCCCACGTCAGGCTCTGCGCTGACAGCATGGAGCCTGCTTAGGATGTTCTCTGCCTCTCCTCCTCAGTCTCTCAAGATAAACATTAAAAAAAAGAAAGAAGGACGAGAGAGAAGGGAGGGAGGGAGGAAGGAGAGGCAGGTCCACATGTGTGTGCAGGTACTGATGGGGGAGAGAGGGCCCAGGGCCCACTTGGGCCTCGGGTGGGCGGGCAGGGATGTGCCACAGAAGGTGGGTGGGGGGTGCAGAAAGCCTGTACACTGGGTGGCAGGGAGTCGAGGGACCTGCCTTGGAGTTTTCCAGTGGAATCTGGAGAGCCCTCAGATGGGTGGGGGTTGGGGCTGAGCCTGAGGGCAAACCCTCCCGTGCACCAGCAGGCATCAACCCAAGAACGGGGACACCCTTACCGCGGTGTGGAAGGAAACCGAGAGGCAAAATGGCTTGGAGAGGGCAGTAGGGCGAAGGGGGCCCTCACCTGGCCCGCAGGACCTGCACCGTGGGGTGTGAGGCTGGGGAACCTCCATCAGGAGCTGCCAGGGGCGTGACCTCCCGGGGTCAGCAGCCAGGGCCGGGCTCGGGTCAGGAAAAGAAAATTCGTTCCCTCATTTACGCGGCTGGTACTTTGTGAGCCCCTGCTGCGTGTCAGGCGGCGTGCTTGGGGTCTGGAGCTGAGCCCTGCGGGACACGGGCCCAGGGAAGTACGTGCAGTCGTCAGCAGGTGAGGTGGCGGCAGCTGCTTGGAGCCGGAGCGGCCGGGGAGGCCCGGGAGCTGCACAGGGGTTCCCCAGGGACAGCTCTCTGGGCCAAGGAGCGGCCAGGGAGCACGGAGGAAGGGGCAGCGGGCATAGATTGACGGCGGGTTTCTGAAGGCATGGGGCTGGTCAGATGAGTGGAGGTCTGCACAGTGACACCAGGGAGGTGAGGGGGCCCCGGGGCTGCTGTGGGGGTGGCGCCTCAAGGGGCAGGACTGTCCTGTCCCGCGCTCTTGTCTTGGGGGCCGGCGGGCCCTTCAGCAGGCCCTTCCGAGGCGCGGGCAGCGGGGCAGACGGACCTGGCCCTGCCCGCGTGGCACCAGGTGGCCAGTGGTATGGACAGACATCTCCGTGCCCAGAAGGGCTGGGGCGGGGGGCCCTGGAGTGCGGAGACCCTGAGGGGCGGGCGCTGACCAGGTGCGCGTGCTGCCCTCGCAGACCGGATCAACATCAAGAGGAAGGGGGCCTGGCCCTCCACCCTGCTGTCCGTGCAGCACGTCATCGACTGCGGCGACGCGGGCTCCTGCGAGGGGGGCAACGACCTGCCGGTGTGGGGGTACGCCCACGAGCACGGCATCCCCGACGAGACCTGCAACAACTACCAGGCTAAGGACCAAGGTAGGTGCCCGCCCGCCCCCACCGTCCCCCTGGGGAGAGCGCGGCTGGGGCGCTGGGGGAGGGCAGGACGGAGCGGGGAGCCCCCCCGCCACCTTGAAATTGAACCCCGTGGGGCTGGGGGAGCGGGCAGCTGGAGTCCACGGTCCTTCCTGAGGAGACCCCCAGAAAAGACCTGGGGCGAGTGTCTCCAGCCTCGTGTCCCCTGTGGCCAGGAGTGGCCACGGTGCTTGGGTTCTGCCATGTTGGCATTTTGGGGGTTTCCTGGGCATCTGTAAGGTGAGCCCTGCAGAGGGAAGAGAAGGTTTTCCAGGAGTGGGTGAGGAAAGCAGGCCTGCAGGTAGGTTGCGGCCCCAAACTGGAGGCACGAGGGCCCAGCTGGAACACGGCATCAGCTCGTTCCCCGGCCTGGGCTGTGAGCACACGGGCAGGGGTGGGGCCGAGGGGTCCTGCAGGGACCAGCAGAGCCAGCCTGCCTGGAGTCTCGGGAGCTGGCACAGCCCTAGGCTGCTTTCCTTGGAAGCCGAAGGAAAGAAGGTCCAGCCCGTAATTGGCCGTTAAGTCACCTGTCGCTGTCAGAGCTCCCTCTTGGCCAGGGCGGAGAACTGGGATGAACTTAATGGGACATTTGAGACCGCAGTGTTGGAGGAAGGGGGAGCCCGAGTGCGTTTCCGCCCCTGCCCTCTCCCTCCATAAAAGGGTGAGTTCCGGCAGCACCCAGTGCCCTCTCAGGGCCCGAGCATACTCTGGGCCACACCCACGGTGCCCTCACGTCGCCTCCGGAGCCGTAGTGCCCAGCCAGAACGAATTCCCCCAGACTGGTTGGGTGAGTCTTGTTGAAGTGGTAAATACAACAGGGGTCAGAGAACCAAGGAGAGGGCAGGTGAAGGGGAGAAGGCTCTGCAGAATGGGGGGATCAGGTGGTCCCTGGGGCCCTGCCCTCCCTCACCCTGCACTGGTCTCGTCCAGCCTAGGCCAGGCCCCTCCAACCCACCAGTGCCACTGAGCAGAGCCGACTGTTTGCGGTACACAGTCCGCTCTTTGTATTAGCAAATGTGGCCACGGATCTGTCCCTTGCCAGTGATACTGGGCTTGGGGCACTTGGTGTCCTGGGGACAAACGAAACCAGCAGGTTAGGCCTCAAGGAGTCTGTGGTCCTGGGGGAGGAATCTGGACGGCTGGGAAATTGTAACGAGTAGGTAACACGAGAGCCGTAACAAGGCAGGGTGGAGGGGTGCAAAGTGGGATGTTGAGGGCCCGGGGACAGCGCAGGGGATGGTGTCTTCTTACACAACTAAGAGCCACACTTGGTCTTTTTTTTTTTTTTAGCCTACTTCTTGAAACCTCCTCAAACCAAAAAAAAAATAAATAAGTAAGAAAATGCTTGATTTTTTCCAAATGTATTGGCCTGTTCACTAGCCAGCAATACAATTATCTTATTAAAAGCTAATAATTTAATTCCACTCCCTTCAGCTGTATTGTGAAAAGACCCTGCTCTTGGCCTTTAAAGGAGAACAGGCTCGCTCTTGAGTGCCTACTATGAGCTGATTAACCTGCGTGCTCCTTCCCTGCCGAAGCCTGGGGACGGGGTCCTCCCCGCTCCCTCGCAGCCGGAGGAAGAGCCTAGTTCGGCAGCACCTGTCGGCAAGATGCTTCCCGGTTGTTAGTTCAGCGTGGAGAGGGCGTGTGCACGTGCTTCTTTGTTCGCGGGTCCCCGAGGAGCCCGTCTCACGCCGACTTCGCGTGCTGTCCCGCAGAGTGCGACAAGTTTAACCAGTGTGGAACCTGTACTGAATTCAAAGAGTGCCATGCCATCCAGAACTACACCCTCTGGAAAGTCGGCGACTATGGCTCCCTCTCCGGGCGGGAGAAGATGATGGCAGAAATCTACGCCAACGGCCCCATCAGGTGAGGAGCCGGAGCCCCCTGCCAGCTGGGCACAGGGGCCCCAGTCAGTGTCACCCCCCCCCGCCCCCTCCCTGGGGCCAACTTCCCTGTCTGGGCGTGTGAGGGATCGTAGGGCGTCTGGGATCGTAGCGAGGGTGAAGCGCACGCACACGTGCGCACACTCAAGTGAGGGACAGAAGTTCGGGCAGGGTCGTCCCGATGCACGACCGGGTTGGGTCCACGGGACCGTCTGTAAGGGGGGTGAGTCCTTCCCGCCCGAGTGCTGATACAAGTGCTTGCGCTCAGCTGCGGTATCATGGCGACGGAGAAGATGGTCAACTACACGGGAGGCATCTATGCAGAGTACCACGACAAGGCCTACATAAACCATGTCATTTCTGTGGCCGGCTGGGGTGTCAGTGACGGCACGGAGTACTGGATCGTCCGCAACTCCTGGGGAGAACCGTGGGTAAGCGCCCTCCCCCCACCCTCCCCCAGGCTCCGCAGCCGGGAACTGCAGCGCTGAGCGGGGGCTGGGGGGCTCCTTGCTCCGGCCCAGGAGTACTGGTGACATCTAGGGTCAGATCCTTCGTGGGGGGAGGGTTGTCATTCCCCCTTACCCCTTAGACGCCAGTGGCTCCTCCCCGCCCCACGTGGCCACCAACAATGTCTCTGGACTTTGCCAAGTGTCTCCTGGGGACCCCGCCCTGGGTGCAAAGCACTGTTTTGGAACTTTTGGTTCAGCCCGATTGTTCCTCTACAACCATCTCATCCTTTCTGCCGGCACAGTTTCGGCTCTCTTAGGAGATACGCCCCAATACGGCGGCATTTTTTCAAAACTACTTTTGAGTTGGCTCAAAAATCCAGGGGAGATAAATTAACTGCCAGAATTTTCATTTCTAAGGCCTAGTATTAACCATTAACAGCTGAAGACACAAATTCATTACTATGAAGTGGGGGAGAGTGATTAATGTCGAAGTGATGAACTCAGTGTTTTTATTAAAAGACCATAAACCGGGGATATTAATAGGTAGTTAACTCATCCGGCTTGAAGAGTCAACATTTTAGTTACATTAATTTTCTTTGGGCTCACAGGGCCATGTACCTCGCTTGTTAAATATTAACCAAGCCAAAGTATTTCACAGAAGGTATTTCTGAGTAGGGGTCCCGGGAAGGGCAGGCACGGTGCCCGAGATGGTGGCGGGGCGGCGCACGGGCAGCGGGGGGCACAGGAGATGGGGATGAGCGAACGTGTGGTGCCCCCCCCACCCCCCCAACAGGGTGAGCGAGGCTGGATGCGGATAGTGACTAGCACCTACAAAGACGGGAAGGGTGCCGACTACAACCTCGCTATCGAGGAGAACTGCACGTTCGGGGACCCCATCGTCTAAGACCCAGGCCTCTGGAAGAGCGGGGGTTTAAGAGATGGTATCGTGAGCCCTCGTCGGGGGGGGGGATCCCGTCGCCGAGGGCGCTGGGCCGGGAGTGCCGCCGTCTGCAGGAACTCGGGGCTGACCCGAGCGGACGGCTGCTGGGCTGGCGGGGAAGCCATCCTTCAAGGGTCGGAAATGGGAGGGCGGAGATCCCGGGGCCGGCAGCACGGTGTGCCCGGCCAGAGTGTGGTCTCCATTCTCCTCAGTACGTGATTTGGTGTTTTCTATTTGGCAACGGTGGCCTATAATGTGGTAACCGAGGTCAGACTGATCACCAGTTGCTCTGTCACCTGGAATCCGTGGTGGGGGTGGAGAAGGCCATCTCAGATCACCCGAGTGGTAATGAATAAAATACACGACTCCCCACGGGAGTGGAGCCTGAGCGTGCCTTATTTACACACGAGAACACCACCAGGATCTACACCTGCCGATCCAGCAGAAAGACTTTTTAATTTGTTCTTGGAAAATTAACATGACAAAATGTCAACCAATCGGGTTCTTGTGAGAAAAGTCACCTCGGAAGGTAGTTCATCTCCGAGTCTCTGGTCCCGAGCTCGCTGCAGCCCGCGGGAGGGACTCCGTTCCTCCGCCAGGGGGAGAACACGGGCAGCAGGGTCTGGGGGCAGCGCGAGCCCCTAGGAGAGGGGGCCGCCCGTAGTAGCGGCTCCACAGTCCCCACCTCCTCCCCCAGGGCCCGGTCCCAAGATGTGGACGGGGCCTCTTCGGCAACGGCTCCTGGGAGGGCTTTCCCACAACTGGTCTCGGAACGTTCTGCGTCAGCTCCGGAGGGTGCACTGAATTAGTTCACCAGGATGAAGTTAGACTTGCAGTGAGCTTTAACACAGAAGGAAAACAGGCACGGGGTTAGAAACAGGTGGTGAACGGTGACAAGGTCGCGGCAGAGGGACACGTACGCCCCAACCCTACCTATAAATTCCGTCACGGGGTCATGTTCGCCCTCTGTTTTAATGGTGCCTGCGATGCTGTCGTTTTCCAAGATGGGGAGGAAGAGCTGCACGAAGTCAGAGGTGTACGGGGGAGCGATAACGTCCAGCACCTAGGACGAGAGAGCACCAGGTCGTTCCCCACACAGCCCACGAGCGGCGTCCCACCATCATCCGATGAAATGGCAGACAGTTTGGGGACAGTCACCCTCCCCTCCCCGCTCTTTGCTCCCTGGTGACAATACGAGCCTCCAACGTTAAGACCCCAGGTGGTTCTACGGGCAAAACGTAATATGGCTCCTGAAGGTGGGATGTGCTAGGTAAATGGTATGTAACCATTGTCACCACCAGTAGCAGAGAGCACAGTTCTCAGAGCTGGGCACAAAATAAACTAATTAAGCCAAAAGGCGCCGCTAGCGTTAACAGTAGAAACGTCAAACAAACAAACAAACAAACAAACAAACGGTGTATTGCTGACCTCAGTTACAAAATAGCGAATGAGCGAAATGTCAGTGTCCAGCTTCTCCAGACACTTTCGGATGTAACTGACAACAGGAAGTACGTAACCTCGACTCAGTAGGTGAACCATCCTGTCCAACAGGGTCTTCTTCAACTCAAGCTACAAGGGCGGGGGCAGACAAATCCGTCACAACGGGTCCTCTCCCCAGCCTCCAGAAGCCCGTGGGCCGCCTGCTCACCTGCTCCATCACGTCCAGCTGGGAGTGCTCCGTCTCAAAAAGCTTAACAAGCAGCTGCAGGACCTGGGGGTGCAGGAGCTGGTGGCAGGTGCTGATCTACAAACATGCCAAAGGGGGCCTCGCTGAGCACCGCGGCCGGGCCCCCGGGCTCACCGTCGCGGCCGGCAGACAGCGGGGGGCTAATGACGGCAGCCCTCGCCCAAAGCCGGTCAGCTTCCGTGCCTTTGCTCGCCCTTTCGGGACACTTGCTGAAAACTGAGAAATCTATGGAGCCGATGAAACAAGTTCCTTCTTTAAGTTTTCTTTTTATTTGGGACCCTCGGGAAGCTCAGTGGTTAAGCGTCCAACTCTTGATTTCAGTTCAGGGCACGGTTTCATGGTTCCCGAGTTCGAGTCCCTCACCGGGCTCTCTGATGGGAGCACAGAGCCTGCTTCAGATCCTCTGTCCCCTTAACTCTCTGTCCCTCCCCAGCTTGTGCTCCCTCTCTCAAAAATAGGGGCGCCCGGGTGGCTCAGTCGGTTGAGCATCCAACGTTGGTTCAGGTCATCTCGTGGCTCACAAGTTTGAGCCCCACATCGGGCTCTGTGCTGACAGCTCGGAGCCTGGAGCCTGCTTCCGATTCTGTGTCTCCCCCTCTGCCCCTCCCTCTCTCTGCCCCTCCCCTGCTCGTGCTGTCTAACTCAAGAATAAATAATAGGGGCGCCTGGGTGGCGCAGTCGGTTAAGCGTCCGACTTCAGCCAGGTCACGATCTCGCGGTCCGTGAGTTCGAGCCCCGCGTCAGGCTCTGGGCTGATGGCTCGGAGCCTGGAGCCTGTTTCTGATTCTGTGTCTCCCTCTTTCTCTGCCCCTCCCCCGTTCATGCTCTCTCTCTGTCCCAAAAATAAATAAACG